GGTCGCTCCCGGGGGTTCGGACCCCCGGCAGATGCAACTGTAGCCCCTCGAGGGCCTCGACGAGCATGTCGAGGCCATCAGAGCAGAATGGCTAGGCGGGGATCGAAGCCTGCGCCAACTCTCCCTCCGCGGGGATGACAAAATCTAGGCTCCCGAAGCGCACGTGCGCACCCAGGACCCAGCTGATGTCGTGGCTAGCCATCTGAAGCCTGATGAAGACGTTGAGACGCGTAAAAGCCCCTACCTAGCGCGCCAACTGTCGGTGGTTCGAGTCACCGGCTACTAAATTTCTAAATTGCGCGTCCGGCTCTGATGGTGTGCTCAGAAGACACAAGGTTTATACTGGTTCGGGCTGAATGTCCCTACATCCAGTTCGCTGCTGCTTGTATTACTGGCACTTATCTGTGGTAAGGGTTACAGACGGGCGAGAGAGGGAGTGGATCCCAAGTCTCTGTGGGGAGAATGAGAGAGTGTTCGAGTGTGTTGCGCACGTGAGTCCATCTCCGGGGTGCCCTGCTTCCCCTTTTATACAAGAAGGGGAGGATACAGGTTACATTGGGAGAGAGAGAATGGAGAACAAGGATGAAAAAAGTCTTCTGGGGACCGTCGCTTCCCCCTTCTTCATGCGGGTCCCGCCGACGCTGTAGGAGTTAATGGGGACGGCTCCATATCGTGTCCCTGTTTATCATTGCTGTTATACCCCCGTGTCATCAGCCGGTCGTGGCTTTCCTTTCCGCCCTATCAGGCAGTATGGTTGGCCTCTAATCCCATTCGTGGCCGTACGGGGAGTAGGCGGAACAGTGCCGGCATGGACATCATTGTTGGGGGCGCGTTGCCCTGGGTATGGCCCAGCGTGGCCACGGGTCACATCAGGACATGCGTTTGCCTTTCCTGGCGTCAGGAGTTTGATGCAGGGCCCACGTCCTCTGACCTACGACGGATGGGGGCGGTATGGCCCCCGTCGGGCGAGGCGGAGTCATCGCCGAGGGGCCGGGCGATGCGAGGCCCACGCCTGAGGAGTCGGGCGAGGCGGAAACTGTGCCCGAGGGGTCAGGCGAGGCGGAAGCCCGTGCCCGAGGGGTCGGGCGATGCGGAAACTGCGCCCCTGGGGCCGGACGACACGAGGCCCTCGCCCGAGGGGTCAGGCGAGGCGGATCTCGTGCCCTTGGGGTCAGATGAAGCCGTAGTGACACCCTTAACTGTCTTGGCGGATTAATGCTGATGGCCGTTAACTCCTCTTGTCCGGGTATCCCAAATATTGATACACGACCTCATGCTTGGAAGGCATTTTTCAGAGATCTGGGAAGGAGTTCTAGGGATCCATGTTGGGATGGCTCATTGCAGAAATGGTTGCTCATGTATACAGTACAAGTGTCAAAAGATTTAGCACATTCAGATATAAAGAATTTCAGAGTCAAGGTGCTTCATTTTTGCTACACCAATTGGCCATCAATTTGAGCTTTTGTTCAATCGTGCTAAAGTTTTGTCTTTAATCCTGTTTACTGGCTGTTTAGTTAAAAAATATTTTATTGTGAGAAATACTTATTAAATATGTGCTTGTGTCCAATCCTTGCTAAAGTTTTGTCCTTAATCCTATTTACTGGCTGTTTAGTTAAAACTATTTTTATTGTGAAAAATACTTATTAAATATATAATATATTAATTGAATGTATACAATCCTTCTACTATGAATAAAATTGTATGGCACATACGTGTTGCATGTGCCTGTTCACTATGTATATAAAAAACTAAAATAATTTATAATTTAGAATGAAGAGAGTATTTTTTGAAGAAATTCAGTCGAAAATAAGCAGGATTTTCTACTCACAAATAGCAGAGGATTTTTTTTAGCGACAGAAAATGCCTGCCGCTCAGAAAGATTTTTGTGTGAAATCATCACCTGTTGTGTTCCAAAAACACACCACAACGCCATCACCACCAATGCAATGAGGCCATGACCGCCTAATACCACAACAGGCCAGGCCCGAGTAAGTATATACACTGAAGCCTAGCCGAACTAGATGCAAAGCTTTCGGGCTGAAATTAGCCTGCCCATTTAAAAAAAAACTCTCTTCTTTGAGTACACGGGAGAGCAAATTTTACAGCAGCATTAAAAGTTGCTTAGTGTGGCGTTTTACACTATACTGTTTTGGCATTATGTACTTATCTGATTTAATTTTGATGGTTGAACCGATAAAGGCCACGTCGCCATAGACATAAACCAATCCTGATTTCCTGGTCCAAACACTGTTATCGCTTAAACCTGCACTTTTCTGAAGCCTAAAGTCATCAAGAAAAAGCTTGAGCCTGAAGATCTGAGGTTTATTTATTTTGGGGCGAGTATCTTGTCAATCAAAATGGTATAATATAAGCCAAATTCTGGAGAAACGAAAGGAATACGTTGCTGATGTTGAACTTTCAGCAAAAATTTGGACCGCGACCGTAAGAACGAAATTCTCTAATCATATAGGAGTAGTATTTAACAGCTAATGACATTACTGATGGAAACAACCGGGAATTAGAAAAAGTGCATTTTAATTAATGTGCAAAAGTTTTGAAAGAGTGGAACCCAAGGAATTGGTCGTCACTGACGCTGAACGCCCAGCTAAAAATCTGTACTTTGGTAAGGAAGACCTCCTGACCTCAGGAATCAAATTTTGTACTCACATGTTTAACAACTAATCTATTCCACTTGATACTACTCAAAATAATGCGTCCTCTTGTTGTGTCAGTCATCTTGTCAATTCACTGTTCCACTGCAGCGTCCAAACATTTGCATTTGCTTCTGCAATTCGTGATGATTAGAAATAAATAGGACCATCAGACCCCATGCATTTGCATTAGCTTCTGTAACAATAGGACCATCAGACCATCTCCAGGAATGGCACTACCTCCAGACTCTGTTTCTTTCAGTTCCGTAGCAATGCACCGGCAAACCTATATAAATCAAAAAGTAAAAAGTAACGAATGAGAATATATGAGTAGGCACTGGTACCAATAGGAATAGGATTAAGAAACATCCACACGAGATTCAGATTTAAGATGTTTCCAAGAACAAGAGGCTATTTAGCTTAGCATCATGTCAAGTGACAGCAGATGCATGGTGAGATCATCGATTAGAGAAAAACGACTTATGGATCCAATCCACCAGCTTATCAAGCATCAGCACACTATATTTTTTCCCCCTCTTCAGCTAAGCTTATCTCAGTCCAAATGCCGAGAAACCTTAGTGTACATGTTTGATCAAACGAATATGTTTTTCTATAACGCTCACTCATTGATCATAAAACCAAACCCTTGATTCTCTTCCATACAGTGTACTCCAGTCGGTAATAGAATCACACAATTATATAACAACTTTGGGTAAAACCATGTAGGAATTCCCTGTTACCATATAGTAGTAGTAATAATACAAATTGAACTGCTAGGTTAATCAATCATATCCAAAGAGAAGTTAACAAAAATCTTCACATACTTGTAGTTAGCTCTAGAATATTGTTCCGGCCTTGTCTACCGACCAAGGCATTACTCAAAATCTCACGAGTTCTTTGCACATACGAAGCCATTACAAACTGGTACACCATAATCTTGAATGAGATATGGAGGAAAACTAATTGATGTTGCTAAAAAAAAAGAAAACATACGTTACAATTACCGGTGCATCCTAAATACAGTGCATCTTTCTATAGTTCTTCTATTAGTGCCTATCAGAGATGGATTTGATTTGCACTCGTGTCAGAAATCTTAACCACTGATCAGCTCAAAGAGCCGCAATTCACATGCACACTATGCCACCAGTTCGCAATTCGGGATTCCCTCCTGCTTGTGGTGACCGATGCAACTATAGTATCATCAATTGTCAGTGGATTTCTTCTATTTGGGTGCAGTAGTCCATCTCCCTGTTGGATTGGATTGTTTTCTGCATGTCTATAGTTATCTATCACTCTGTCAGGCTAGCCTCATTGCCATTGGAGGCTTCATGCTTCAGTTATCCATCTGGCCAGGATTAGGCTGGGACCTTATCGGTTGATTGGTATTTGGCTGATAAGCAAGTGGTTGATTTCATCAAGATGGGAGGGAAAGGTTGCTTCCAATGAACACCCATGGACGATGGTTGTTCATTGGAATTCAAAGTATGTTCCTCTTCATCAGATTTGGAGCTTATCTCTCAACAATATTATGTTTTTTCTTCTGAGCACTAGCTTTGTGATTTTGAAGTTCACCAAGCATTTTGATGCTATAGATGAAGAGCATATAGAATTGGTCATGTCTTAATCTTCTTCTTATTTTAATATTTTACTTTTTGGAAAATTAAAATTAAAGAATACCCTGTCATGAATGAAAGTACACAGTAAGATCAGGACATCCTTACATGGTTGGTTTCTGGGCTGATAAGCCCAGCTGGTGCTGGTTTGTTGTGAGAGGAAAACACTGTTGGCTGGCTGATAAGCCTTGGCTGAAACCATCAAGCGAACAGGCTGATTGACATCATTGTTGTTCCAAATTTTCACGTAACTAGCGGAACTACTGCATTGTACTGATGTTCCGTGTGAGTTTATCAAATAGTTTAATCATGAGCTTTGCTGCATTTGGTACATTTATTTATGTTTCTAATGTTGGGTTTCACTCCCTGATTCAATTCACCTACTGCTAATTATATTTCTATAGACAAATCATAATGATTTGAACATAACCAATGAGCACGAGAAATTTACTTTCCTAGACAGAGCTAAAATTGCACTTAGATTCGTTAAGGCAACAAAATCAACACTGGCTACCTCAAAATCCATAGTCCCCATTTGATTTGATGCAAATGGTAATCAACCACATGTAAAGAAACAACAACGATAATAATAAAGAAACTAAAAACAGCTAGCAAGATGATTACCTGGTACCGGATCAGCCTCCCATGGACGAGGTCCGGGTCGGGGGCGGCGGCTTGGCACCTGGCGCTCAGCTCTCAGTCCTCCATCTCCGGGTAGCACCGTTCGCGGACCTCCTCATTGGTGAGGTCGCCGAATTGGTTGAGGCCGTACAGGTTTTGCCCGGCGGCGGTTGCCCTTGAACAACCTGTACCGGCACTCCTCCTCACCGACGTCTCTGTAGGTCTTGCCGTACTTGGCCTTCCACCCCACGAACATCCGGCGGGTCTCGTGCTCGAACGGTCTCTCCCCCATCCGGACCCCGTGCCCGCAGTAGATCTCCTCAATGGCGGTGGCGCTGAGACCGTTGAGGCCAGAGGTCACCCCGGCGGCCCTGGCCCGGGCGACGCGGCGGCGGCTCTCCTTGAACACCGCGTACCGGCACTCCTCTTCGCCGGCGTATCTATAGGTCTGCCTGTACTTGGCCTTCCACTCCACGAACATCCGGCGGGTCTCCTGCTCGTATTTGTTCACGGCCCGCAGCGATGCTAGCAGGATCGGCAGCGATACCAGTAGCATGGGCAGCGACACCAGCAACGCCGCCGCCGCCGCGAGAGCAACCGTGGAGCCCCGCCCCATCCTGTCACCACCAACAACGACGACGAGTTGGTCGACCTCGCGCGCGCCCAACGGACCCATCGCACTGCGAGGGTAGATGGCTCGCTGTAGGAGGTTCACCGTAGCCATAGTACTCCACCGATAATCTAGACCTAATCTGATCTAAGGGAACGCAGCAGCGGTGGGGAGCGCCGCCACCGTCTTCACCACCGCTCTCAGACTGCGCTGCCACTACTCTCCGCCACCGGATCTACGGCGCCACCGTTCCCACTACGTTCACATACTGAGGATGAGAGTCTCTGAGAATGAGTTCCTAATTCATTTGATTTTTGCTTCTTTATTTAAAGAGTACGAGACTTTTATTGTGAACTATAACTTACAGATAAGTGGGACATTAAGAAGCTCATTGCTATGTGTGTAAAAAAAGATGAGAGGCTTAAGAGCTCACATGGTGACTCAATCAATCATGTGAAGGAAAATAAAAAGAAGAACTTTAACAACAAGAAAGACAAACCACAAGAAAAACCTCGATGGGACAATAGCTCCTCCTCAAAGTCATAAGGAAAGGCCCGACAGAAAGACCACCATCAGAAACTCAACCGTGTTCAAGTAGACAAGGACACCTGCATGTGGTGCAAGAAGACTGGACACTACTAGAAGGATTGTCCAGAGTTTCTGAAGCACCTGATGATGAAAGGTGATGGCATTATTACATTCGTAGATGAGTTCTTGTATTTAAGTTATGCAACGTCTACTTAATGGATTAATTCAGGGGCAACTATTTATGTTGCAAATTCATTACAGGGATTCCATACGAGAAGGACCCTGCAAAGAGGAGAAAGATACATTAAGGTGGCAAATGGAGTCAAGCTGAAGTTGAAGCCGTTGGAAAACTCCCATTAGAATTAAATGATGGCTTTGTACTTAAGCTTACAGATGTCCTTTATGTACCTTTTTACGTAGAAACTTAATAAGTGTGTCTCGTTTAGATGATGATGGTTATGATTGCCATTTTGGTAATAGCAAATGTTAGATTCTGTTTAATAATAAGTGTGTTGGTTTTGCCTTCCGACAAGACAAGCTTTATTTATTATCAGTTTCTGAGAATGTGAATGTTGTGAGCAATGAGAATGAGAATGCCTCCTCGTCTATGAATGCAAGAAATAAGTGAAAGAGAGTTCATAATGTATCATCGAAATTATGGCACTGTCGTTTGAGCCATATTTCGAGGGGAAGAATAGAACGATTGATTAAAAAATCAATTCTTCCGCTATTAGAATTTTCATATTTAGAACAATGCATTGATTGCATAAAAAGAAAGTATGTTAAAAAAGTAAAGAAAGATGCCAAGTGAAGCGTAGAAATTTTAGAAATAATTCACACAGATATTTGTGTTCCTTTTCCTATGAATAGTGTGGATGGTTATGATTCACTTATAACATTCACAGATGATTACTCTCGTTATGGCTATATTTATCTAATTAAGAAAAGATCAGAAGCGTTAGATAGATCTAAAATATTTAAGGCTGAAATAGAAAATCAGCACAATTTAAAGATCAAGATAGTAAGATCCGACCGTGGGGGTACTACGGTCGACATACCCCATATGGCTAAATTCCTGGACCTTTTGCAAAGTTCTTACAGAAAAATGGCATAGTTGCTTGTTGACGGTCATTAACACCAATTATAAACCGTCAACATAACCTACATTTATGTTTAAATTCATCACCAAACATAGGTATAGGGGTTTAAACTAATAAATTCAACGAGTGTTAGTGAATTTGTGACTGCAGGAGGATTTAATCAAAAAACCGTCAAGGGGGGTCTATTCGTCAAAGTAAATCACGTTTATCCACGGCGGCACCGACGTAGAAAGGATCTACAAGACACCAGAAGACGCACCACCAAAGCTTGGGCCAAACCGCCACAAAAGTGGGTCAGCCGGCCTAAGCCCTAGGCCGACCGGCCTGCTCCGGAGTCCGATCGCCCTCCGCCGCCTCGTACACGTTTCTGAGATCTACACCATTGATTTAAGGCGGTTTTAAGTCGGTGCATCCAACGGTGGTCGAGGGAGATGACGCGGATCGATGACGTGGCAATTCCTTGCCCTCTACTCCATCTCCCCTATATATACCAGCCCCTATCCCCCTTCCTGGAGTGATCCCTGAAACCCTAATTCATATTTATCTCTTTGGATCAAGACCACACCAGGAGGATTAGGGCTAGACTCTCCAATATAGTACATTAGGAACTTGAGAGTTAGGGAGAGTTGAGCCATGGTTCTAGAGAAATCTTCGGAGGTCTGGTATATCTTTGTATCTTACCATTGCAAGACTTATGCTTTAATATAGTTATCTTCTCTATTTACTTTTATGCCTTTCATGTATATGGTTAGTATAGTTATCATACCTTAGCATGGGATCTCAGTTTGTATTGAGTGCTTTAGTTATCGTGTATGGCTAATGTAGTAATCGATAGTATAGACATGGTGTCTAGACTATAGGTTACCTGAGATTGCGCCCAATCCTACGGTTAGTTGTGGTAGCCCCAGGGTTGACAGCTCTGTCAGGCCGTCGTAATCCACCGTATTAGGATTGGTGTTCGTAGAGCTTTAGGCAGCCTTCCCCCGACTACGCTTTCTCACCCCCCTCAAGAGTCGGAAAGGTACTGCTGCTCCAAAGTGTTATAGTATGTGATCGCTATATCTAACCATGCTTCAGTTATCATCTAGTTTAGACTAGAACAGAACCAAAGTAATAGAGAAGTGTTAAGGAACCTTGAACTCTCCCGTTGTCCTCTTAGCTAAACTACTCTTTCACCATGAAATTCTCCAAAGTGTGTGTGTCATTATTCGTAACTCATATCATTTACCATTTACTCCCACTCTAGTCTAGTCGGTATACTAAGTTAGTAGATGCATGATGGTGAACTATCAGTTTCTTTAACCATTGCTTCCCTATGATAAATACGATACTCTAGAATACTCCTGGATAAAAGCTATAACAGTATCCATGCGCTTACGAAATTCTCTGTGTGCGTTAATAAATACCAACATTGCCTAGTACTCTACACCGGGTGAGCCTCGACAGAATGGAGTAACTAAAAGGCGCAACCGTACCTTAATAGATATGGTAAGAAGTATGATAAGTTACTCTACTTTATCGATAAGTTTATAGATGGAGGCGTTAAAAACCGCCATTCATATTCTCAATCGAGTTCCAAGCAAGTCGGTGCCCAAAACACCATATGAGTTGTGGACAGGAAGGGAACCCTCACTGAACCACTTACGTGTGTAGAGCTATCCAACTGAGGCTAAAGTTTTAATCCAAACATAGGGAAGCTAGACTCCAAGACAGTTAGTTGCCATTTTATTGGCTATCCAGACAAGTTAAAAGGTTATCGTTTCTACTATCCTAACAGACATACAAAGTTTGTAGAAACAAGACATGTTGTATTCTTAGAGGATGAGATGGTCAGGGGAAGCATGGTAGCGCGAGATATTAACCTTGAGGAGAAGCGGGTATACGTGCCCACTCCAATGGTTCAAGAGCCATTTTTCACGCTACCTGTTGTTGCTGCACCAATAGTGTGGGACACTATAGTGATAGCACCTGTTGATAATTCTTCCATGGTAACAATGAATGAACATGAGGAACCTGTCCTTTAGGATCCTATAGAGCCCGCTGTCGCTCATGAGGAAGAACTTCAATAGCCTCACATAGATCAAGTGCCAACTAATGGGGCCCCTAGAAGGTCTCAAAGAGCTAGAAAATCAGCCATTTTTTATGACTATTAAGTCTATGCTAGTGAGGAACCTCAAATGGAGGATGAAGAAGAATTTCAAATGGAAGGTGATCCCACCTCATTTGAAGAAGCCATGAGAAGCGCCCAATCGTCGAAGTGGCTTGAAGCCATGGAAGATGAAATGAGATCGATGAGCACCAACAGTGTTTGGGACTTAGAAAGAATTCTTAAAGGAGCCAAGACAGTAGGTTGTAAATAGGTCTACAAAACTAAATATGACTTCAAAGGGAATGTGAAAAGATTTAATGCGTGACTTGTGGCGAAAGGTTTCACGTAAAGAGAAGAAATATATTACAATGAGACATTTTCTTCAGTCTCATATAAGGATTCTTTTAGAATCATAATGGCGCTAATGGCACATTATGATTTAGAATTACATCAGATGGATGTAAAGACGACTTTTCTTAATGGGGGTTTAGATGAGAATGTCTACATGGCACAACCAAAAGGCTTTGTCGTGAAAAAAAAAGAACATATGGGATGCCGTCTGAAGAAATCCATTTACGGATTAAAACAGGCCTCTAGATAGTGGTATTTAAAGTTTGATGGAACGATAAGGAAGTTTGGGTTTAAAGAGAATGTAGAGGACAATTGTGTTTATACAAAGTTCAAGAATGGGAAATTTATTTTCCTCATCCTGTATGTGGATGACATCTTACTCGCTAGTAGCGATGTTAATCTACTACAGGAGATGAAGAAGTTTTTGTCCTCAAATTTTAATATGAAAGATCTTGGTGAAGTTTCATACATTTTAGGTATAGAGATTCATCGAGATAGAAGAAATGGGGTTTTAGGATTATCACAAAAGGCATACTTAAAAAAGGTTCTAAAGAAATACAGTATGCATAAGTGTAAGCCTTCGCCTGCTCCCATAGTCAAGGACGATAGTTTTGAGGAATTTCAATGTCCTAGGAACCAATATGAGATCGATCGAATGAAATCGGTTCCATATGCTTTAGCTGTCGGAAGTTTACAGTATGCTCAAGTATATACACGCCCTGACTTAGCTTTTGTTACCGGGATACTTGGTAGATATTAGAGTAATCCTGAATTAGAACACTGGAGAATGGTAAAGAAAGCTTTGCGCTATGTGCAAGGCACAAAAGGCCTCATGTTAACGTATAGAAGATCTGATTCCCTATATATAGAGGGGTATTCATATACAGATTTCGCGAGAGATGTAGATGATAGAAAATCCACATCAAGTTATGTATTCA